TCCATGCTAGCAACAGATGCAGTTTCTCTACAGTTTTAGTAATTTTTCAAATTCCTTCATGGACTGTTGCTAGTTCTGTTATTATATTTTTAGCTAGCCTTACTTATTAAACAGCTCATCGAATAATTGCATTATTTTTTAACATAGGTCTTTAAACTACCAAAATTGGAGCAAAAAATAAAGTAAAATGAAGTTTGTCCCCCCATTAACTGTCATATTCCTAGACATGTCTTGGTGAGCTTGAATGTAGCCTTGATGCATAATATCAACCTAGCAGTCAACTTCATTGTAAGCAATATGTTATCAGGGGCAGCTTATAATATTTTCCAGGGGGGGAAATAAAAGAAATATTGCGACTATATGGCCCCACCATTTTTTTGCAGGAAATGTGGTCAATTTTTTGTCAAACCCATAAACAGCTGGGGGTGGAAGATTCTTATGAAGATTTGGATTTTTATAAAAAAAATCTTATTTTGAGCGAAAAAGTAGAGCTGTGGGTAAATTTTTGAATCTATTCTTAAAAATCAAAATTAAAAGACTAGAAGGTGCCTGTCTCTTGTTTAACTTCTAATTTTTCTAGGAAGGGGGACGTTCCCCCAACACTCCAGGGGGGGGGGGAGTGTCCCACGTCCCACGTCACACGCCCCCCCCCCCCTAGAAAAAGGTTTAGGAGTATGTCCCCCCTTCTCCGCCCCCCCCCCCCGTGAGCCGCTATTGTATGTTTTTAAATACTTGCTTCTCTTATTGTTTCTAGTTACACTTTTTATAAAACTTTTTTTTTAAATTGCTAATTATACCTATTTTGTTATAATATTTCCCCTAGATTTAGAGGGCTTTTTCATTTTGTTCGTTCATCGTTCGTAAATGATCCATTTTGTTCTTTTCTTTCAATCGTTCAAAAAAAGTTGATCTCGTTCGTTCTCAAAATTATTGTTAATTTTCAATTTTTTTTTTCTCACTGAACACACAGTAAAGTCGATTTTTTCTAAAAAATCGTTTTTTCAATAAAATCATTCGTTCAGTTAAAAACTTTTTTCAAAAAATTATTAAAAACATTGGTCTTTCAGTATAAAACAGTAAAAAACGATTAAAATTTTTTAAATATTGTTAGTTTTTAAAAAACGATAATTTTTTCATTGTTCAGAACAATCCATTTTGTTCATCCATCTTTCAAATTTTTTTTCACGAACATCCTTTTTCGTTGTAAAAAATTTTGTTTGTTCTAAAAAGCAATGCCCATCTCTAAATTGACACTTTTTGCACCAACGTCAATTTTGCTTGAGGGTTGAAACCGCGCAGTTTCCTAAAGAATTTAAAGTTTGAAAAAGAAGGATAATGTATAAAACTACAAGAGGGGGGGGGGATAGTAATTTTTAGGATTGCATCCGTGGGCGGCGAACTATATAGTGATATTTGTATTTTTATAAAAAGATTAATGCACTGTTTTTGAGATAAATATTTATTACTGATTTTTATTTTATTTTAAAGTGTACATTATTCTAAACAAAGAATTGACCTATATTATTTCTGAAAAAGTGAATTTCAATATTTAGCATTTTAAAGTAAAAAATTTCAATAAAACATTTTAAAGTCAATAATAAACATTCCTATAACTTCATGATATCATCATTAAGTAAAAATAATGCTGAAATTAACAGTTTCATCTTTTTTTCATATAAAAAAAAATATTTCAAGAGTACCTCCATTTAAAGAGGGGTATGTCACATTCAGAATGGCACCCTTAAAAGTACTTATCTCATCAATAATGTCCAAGATATTGTCGTTTTTTAATCTTGACAAGTGATCTTTAATCAATAATGTCCAAGATATTGTCGTTTTTTAATCTTGACAAGTGATCTTTAATCAATAATGTCCAAGATATTGTCGTTTTTTAATCTTGACAAGTGATCTTTAATCAATAATGTCCAAGATATTGTCGTTTTTTAATCTTGACAAGTGATCTTTAATCAATAATGTCCAAGATATTGTCGTTTTTTAATCTTGACAGATGTTTTATATCTAACAAGTTATACTTCATAAGAAAGCAGGAAATCCACAAATCACTTTTTTACAGAATCGCCAATTAAAACGAAACATGTTTTAAATGTTGAATTTATATTTTTATATAGAATGTTCCGTTTCTGTGGAGAATAGGAATAGGACCTCTACACTATATTCCAGCAGTTTTAGTCAGGTACAAATATATTCTAGTATGCAATAGATGGCAACTTAGAATGTGTACACTCTGTGTGAAGCTGTATTCTGAGTCACAAGTGTCAATTTGCAGTTTTGTGTCCGACTAAAGTGTCTCTAAAAGTGATATTTTTAGAATAAAATGCTTATCTTACAGTAAAATAAGTGCAATTTTTTGTGTTCTTTAGTTTCTGTTTCTACACTTTTTTATTAAATCTTGGAAAACATGTCAACCATAATGAGAGAAAATTTCGTTTTCCTTGCTATATTTGACACTTGTGACGTCATGTTTAATTGGTTCATTTCTCTGTTGCCACCTATTGTACTTGATAATCTATTCGGTCAGGTACAGAGTTATTAAACTAGGTCAGTTTTTAGACTTTTATGAGACTCTACAAGATTTTGAGTTGCGTAATTCCCATTTGAAAATTGCATGCTTTTTTGCTACAATATGTAAAATTTTTACTCTAACCGAAGATATTAACCAAAATAATTAGTCAAATCTTAAAAAATATCGTTTTGGATTATATCTTTGATATCGAGAATATAAATTTGCCAAAATAGATAACTCAAACTCTTGTATAGCACTTTAAACATCAAAACACTCTTAATGTTTAAAAATTAACATTTATTTTTCAACATACAGGGTGTCCCACGAAAAATGAGAGTTGGTGAATAGTTGTGAATTTGCTGCATATTAAAGCCTTTTTGCAGTTTATTTAGTATAAAAAAACTTTACTCAAATATATTTTGCTTAGAAATCAATTTTACTTTAATATGAATGCTGTGGAAGACGATGCGTTAAACTAGTTCCACAAGATTCAACAGAATGAGATAGAACGGATACGGGGCATCTTTTTTGCTAC